CCTTCCCTTACAGCCATTATAATTAAATTGATGTTGTCCATGGATGGGAAAATAAAACCATTTTCTGTGGCCATAAAGCATTTAGTGGTTCAGCCCCACCCTTAATGAAAGAGCAATAACTCCTGTCTCTCCTGCTTGGTCACTAACCTGCCCCCTTTCTGGCAGGAGGGAACCCAAACATTTCAGAAGAGCTTCCAGAGAGGGTCTGACACTGAGTTTTAGGTCTTTGGTGTGTCACAAATACAAACCCCTCTTTTCTTTGAGGGAAATGTGCCTGTGTAGCAGACCTGCCTTGCCCAGGAGCTGGTGCCCTTCCCCAGCAGAGTGACTGGGAACCATTCCTGGGTGACCTGAACAGTCGGGCAGGGACTGGATCTGGGATTCTCTATTGTAGTTCAGCTGCGGCCATCAGGTGGCAACCTGATCACTGGGATCATCCTGAGCCGGAGGCACTTTGGGGTGGGTGTTCTCTGGGGCTTTCCAGTGTCCTTTGTGACTTAGAGATGTGTCTGCCAAGTCCTGGGCATGTCCTGCTGGCAGCTCTCGCCCTGCTCAGGGCAGAAGAGTGAGGAGTGAGGCACCTGCAGAATTCCCAGTGGGAAAAGGCAAGGGAGAGGTATTTCTTACAATTTACCTGAATTAAGTTACGATGAGCAGCACAATATCCTGGGGTGATGAAGCCCATGGGCTGGTGGCAGTAGTTAAGCACATCCTTGGTTAATGTGAATATTTGTGCTCATGGCTGAGCTGGGTTGTGATGTTGGTGATCCCTTCCAGCTTCTCTGGTCTGCAAATGGGTCAGGAAAAATGACTTTATATTTGGTGGTGAAACAGTCTGAGTCCACAGCAAAGAGGGGCAGAATCCTGTCACCCCAGAGTTCAAAATACAAGCGGTCTCATTATCTGGAGCTGTGAAATACAGAATCATGGAATCATGAAATGGTTTGGGTTGGAGGGATCTTAAAGATCATCTCCTTCCACCCCTTGCCATGAGCAGGCACACCTTTCACTAGACCAGGTTGCTCAGTGCCCCTCAATATATTGCTCAAAATGCTCAAATATTCCATATCTTTTTCCTAAAGAGGCATTATATCTGGAATAGCTTTGTTTGACTGTTTTGTTTTCTTCCCTGGGGAACGTTTATAAAGGAAAATCACACAGTGCAGGAACCTCAGGATGTCCATGGGGCTGTAAAGGTGGTGGCAACATCCCTCTTTGGGTTGGAAAAGATGTTTGAGGTCACCCACTGCTCTGCCTGTCGAGCCAGAAAAATGGAAATGAATCCCAGGAAGTCCTGGCCTAGTGGGTATTATCCTGATGGTATTTTATATGATAAAATAGCCCAATAACAAACAGTTCTAGGCAACACTAAGACTTTAATACCTGTATGTGTGTCTAACTCCCAGTTAGGAAGGAGTTGCAAAGTTTGGATAGTGAATTAAAAAACCCTTTCAACACCCAGTTACTCCCTAAGGAAGAAGCCCCGCTCGGTCTCTCCCTGTGGGGTTTCACTCCTGGGTACAAAGTCACAATTCTGGGTGAATATTTGTGTTCTCCCTGCTCCCAGTGTTCCCACTGCTCTCCAGGGGAGCTCCAGGGGCAGCAGGAATGTGGGATCAGGCCCAGTTTTGTATTTATTTCAAGGTCAGTGACACTCGTGGCAGATGGGGCTGGTGATCAGGCAGTGTCTGCCCAGAGTAAACTCATCCTTGGTCTGTTCTGTGAATGTCCCCAGGGAAAACGTTGAAGATGCTCTTTGCAGTGTCTGTGAGTGTAGCAAATGCTTATTAATCTCAGATAAGCAGGTGTTTCCTTAGCAGGATATAATAATAATAATAATAATAATAATAATAATAATAATAACAGCCTGCTATTTGAGTTTCTTGGGTTCAGTGTGTCCCACAACAGAAGCCATGGCTGAGGTGACCTCCCAGCCTCTACTACTATTATTATTATTATTATTATTATTATTATTATTATTATTATTATTATTA